CAAATATTAATGAAAATCAATTAGAACTTCAACAACTGGCTAACCAATATGTTTAATTGAATAAAACAAAACTTTTATTTTTTATAATATTTTGGCGCTTTGTTAGAATTAGTTAATGGAAAAATTTCATATGAATGAAAATAAATTTTTCATAAAGAATTCACTTTCATCATAATGTTGATTTTTATATAGTTCAAATATAATATTTGAACACAAGAATAAAAGAAAAAGTTTTGTTTTATTCAATTAAACATATTGGTTAGCCAGTTGTTGAAGTTCTAATTGATTTTCATTAATATTTGATGTAGTTCTTGAACATAAACTAGTCATACCATTTCCATCCATCCATATTTGCCAACGAGAACCAATTGAAACTTGGCCAATACCACACATGCTTTCTTGTTTCCATGTTATTACTTTAATATGTGCACCAACTAATGTGCCCTAAAAGTTAATCAGTAAGATAATTATTAACTATTAAATAGAGAAAAGTTCAACATTATTCTACTTTGAATGCTTGTTCAACTTGTACAGTGAATTCATAACTATCCCAAGAGAATTTCGGTGATGTTTTCTGAAGAATACGTCCATTAAAAATAATTGGTGTTCGATTGAAATCCTCTTTTACAAAATAAAAAGATTGATTCAGGACTGAAGGAAGTATTTTAATTCTCGTAAAGCTGATTCTTAATTGAATATTAACTGTTTCACAAATGATCATTTCATGTAATGCATCGGTTTTAAATTCCAATAGAAACGACAGTATGATTAACAGATTTCAACCCTATGATGATGAAAAAATTGGCAGTACTGCTTTTAATTAATTTTACGAACAAGAGAATATTTTCAGGTGTGCCTGTCTTCAATTGGCCTTATGTTACTTTGTGTAGGTCCATGGAATAGTTACAATAGCATAAAGTATTCTTTCTCATAGAGTGTTTTTGAGAAGTTCGTGGGTGTGGGTGTTTCTTTTCTTTTCATTTTACCCATACCCTGCTACCACTATTTATGGGTACCTCGAAGTAAATTTGTCGTTCAAATTTTTGAAAATGACTGGAACAGAAAAGGGAGATTAGAAATGATATACATTAATTTTAGTAAGAATATTATAATTTGTTGTTGGCTTTTTGTTTTTCGAATTGTTGATCTTTTAGTTATTGTTATGCTGGACAATTGGCAGTGGATATTTTAATTAATACTTGAACAATGAAAAATGTTCATATACATAAGTGGACATGTGTGGAACTGGTATTCTCTTATGATCCATATGAAAATTCAAATAGAAAAAATTTAGCATTTGGTATTGAAGGTAAAGTAGAAATTTAATAAGCAGAATCAACATAAAGAATGATTGCTTGTGTTTTTTTTCTATTATAGTTTATGAACAGCAAAATTTAAAAATACTTGTTATTCAACAGCATGATAATATTTTATTGGATAAATGACAAGAATTTGTTGATGAACTTTTAAGATTTTTTAATAATGAACAATTAAAAGATTTTATTGTTTGAACTGCATTTATTGCAATTGAACGTAATGATGTTCAATTAAAAGGATACGAATATTTAAAAAAAGAAAAAAAATAGACGAAAAATATGTTTCTATTTGGATTATTCTCATTAGAGAACAATTAAGATATTTAACAACAACAATTAATTAAAATAACCTTGCTTGTATTGCATTAGAAGAACGTCAAGATAAAGATTATCATAAAATTGTATGAGATCATGATCGATACTATATTGCTGGTGATGGTATTGCTAATTGATTGTTTTATAGTGCGTAAATTAAAATTCAATTTTTAATTTGAAATATCTTCATTGTTTTTTGTATTTCTATGTAAGCAACAAGCTCAAATATCAAATTACAATTTCTATTTATGTTTAATAATATTGGATAAAAAGATACAACATGCTAATGAATTTTTAGTTCGATTAAATCAATGGAAAGACATTTTGTCAAGTAGATTGAATGAAAACATGCTTTTATATTTTT